CCTGAAGATAAATCTATTTACTTCCTGACCCATAATAAAGTTTTACACAATCCCAGGGTTACTCATTAATAGCCTTTGGTAAAGAATCTAAAAAAGGCTCTAAAAATCTAAGTAAATCTACCAGTTGCCCCTTAAAAAATTAATCCTTTAGGGGAGAGGGTGAAAACTCTGGCAGGTTAACCTGGCAAAATCTCCCCCCAGTAAAGCCATCGGTTGTTTCCCCCGCACTACGTAGCCATCCTTTAATATAAATCTCAATAACTCGCCTGTCACTGGGCTATGACTTGATGGTCTCTTCTGATTCCAGAATCAGGCATGAATCAATCCATTTTCACTGTTTCTCTATCTCTCTATATTATCCCTGGTACAACTTAAGCCGGAAACCAATTTTATTTTAAATAAAAAAATATGGATTTGTGATATAATGCTGATTTTAAAGTAACTTTCAAGCATTGTTGACTGAGGCAGCTAATATCCACATAAATAAAGCCAGTGTTATTTGAATATTAATGACACAGATACAGTAAAGGACTTAGGCTGCCAAGGTGCCATGGGAAAAAGCCTGAGACTTCCAAGGGAAAACAAACCTTGATTTCAAGAATGAGCTCTGAAGTTTGAAAACAAAGCCCAAAAGCTAGTCACAAATTCAGAAAGGACTGAAGATAATTGATATTTCAAAGTTATTTCTGGGAAAACTAACTTAGGAAACAGCAACCAAGTGAAGTGCAGGCTCCTGCTGGTTCTCTGAGCTTCTCTCAGCTCTGCCTCCTCCACCCAGACCCTGTGTACCTCATTTTCCTCTTTGTGTCCTTGTGACCTGCCTTTTCTTTCTTTCTTTCTTTTTTAAATATATATTTTTATTGATTTCAGAGAGGAAAAGAGAGATAGGAACATCAATGATGAGAGAGAATCATTGATCGGCTGCCTCCTGCACGCCCCACACTGGGGATGGAGCCTACCACCCGGGCATGTGCCCTGACCGGGAATTGAACCATGACCTTCTGGTTTATAGATTGATGCTCAACCACTGATCCATGATGGCTGGGCGTGACCTACTTTTTCTACTTCCGTATATATCTAATATCTATATTGGTGACTCTCTAAAGAGGAAGCCAACAATTGGTTGCATCCTTGTATTTAATTTTTCCTTGATAAAATTATTTCCCTTTTCTCTCAGTTTTAACATATATCCTTCCATAGGAAGCTTCCTGGTTCTTTGATTCTTCATTCATCCATTCATTCAGCAAATCATTTCTTAGGGCCCATTATGTGCCTAGTGCCGTGCAATTAACAATAAAGAAATAAACCAAGTCAAGTAAATGGAATGGTCGCTGGTGATAGAGCTACAGAGGAGAATAAAGCAGGGAAGGGTTTGGGGTCCTGGGGCCCAAATTTGAGAACGTGGGTAACCACAGGCCAGATGGTCAGACAAGGGACCAAGAGTCAGACAGATCACCAGTGCTTTCCACTCTGGCTCTTATCGTAACGATGCCAGGGGACTTGTGACATATACAGATTCCCAGACACGCTTAGAAGTCCTCCTTCTGCAGGTCCTAGGGTGGTTAGAATTATGTATTTTTAACAAGGGTTTCAGGTGATTCTGGTGCAGCTGTTGGTCACAAGCCCGTGGTTTGAGAACCAGTGATCTAGAGACCAGAGGCTGATGGGAGGTTTAAGTCCAAGGTAACATCCAGAAACCAGGAGTGTGTGTGTGTGTGTGGTGGGTGGGGGTGGGGGGGCGGGAGTTACACATGCTGGGGAAGGAGGCAGTCAGGGACACTAATATCTGGAAGCCTGCTCTTCTCTCTTCCTTCCCTCCCTCCATCTTCCATAGAATAGAAGCCAGGCTCTTTCCATATCCTCCATCCTGTCTGCATCTTGTCATAGAGTCCATGCTCAGAGCCCCAAACCTTGCTTGTTCTTCATATGCAAAGGGAAGTTGCTTTTGGGATTAGGAAAACTCTATCCCCCTAACAAATCTTGGCTTCCAAGACCCCTGTCTCTGTGTGGATCAAGTAAGCCTGGTGTGCAGTTCCAAGCTGAGCAACGACCTCCTTGCTCTGGACGGCACCACTGTCTCCTTCTGAAGCAACGAGAGCCACGGATCCGGCGGGGAGAGGAAATCACGGGGACACGATTTATGGAGCGTGAGACACTTACATTGGTTTCACGTTGGAAAAATATTATCCTTGTCACGTCCCTTTCAGTCCTCATGTTTCCTTCATTTAAGCTGCATTTAACACCTCTTTCCTCCCTGAAATACTCCCCCTCCCCGTTCTCCTGGAATTCTATTGCAGCTCTTCTTCCCGAGTCTTCTTTGTAGGTTTCTGCTCTGCCCCTCACTTCATGTGGCTCTCCGCAGCCCCCCTTTCTCTTCTGGTGCTACAGGCGACCTCGCCCATGTCTGTGTGTCTGATGACCGTCTTTCCTGCCCTTATCTCCTGAGCTCCAGATCTGCAGCCAGCATCTCCCTGATGCATCTGCTCAGTTATCTGTTTCCCAGGAACCTTAAACTCACCAGGTCCAAGCTCTCCAGAGAGGGGGAGGAAGAGGGATCCCCTGCCCCCGGAATGGCCTCCTTTCAAATGGAAACCCAAGAAAGTAAACTGACCTGTATTTAGTAGGAAGATGATTTTCTGTGGAGCTTTAAGTTCACTGGGGGTATATGTTAAACAGTGGTCTAGAACTGACAAAACCCAGGGGATCTGTCCATGACATCCCCACCCCCACACTTCTCTTTCATTTATGACAACCCCTCCCCCTAGTGCTGTGAACCACTGCGAGGGCCTCTATTTTCCACAACTAATTCAGACACTAAGATTTCGATTTCTGAACCAGAGGAAGGAGATGCTTTGGGTCCCCCAGCACTAGAGTTATTTGGGAAACAATATCGTACCAGTTTCTGGAATATACTCTGTAAGGTGCTAAAGAAATCTAGACCCTGATATGGGTCTTTTTCCCCCCTCAAAGAAATAGCTGAAGACTGACAAGAAAACTCTTTTCCTTTCTTATTGTTTCCCCCCCCGCCCCCCAATCAATACACTTCGTCAGTGTCTTTTTAACAAATGAGACTCTCGCTGCATCTGTAGTGCCGCCATTGCTGACTCATGAGTGAAGAAATAGGATGCACCATGTCCAGCGGATGTCACCCCCTTCTTTGGTTAACTCAACATTTTGGTGACTAATGTCGTAAAGGTGTCCTCCCTTGAACTTGTCCAGTGCTTACAACTTTGTAAAGAAGCAGGCCCTTCCTTCAAACAAATTCTCCCTTGAAACCTCAATGTGTAAGGAGGCTGAGAGCGGAGCAGGGCTCCCTCCCTGACCCGGTGTGTGCTCTGGGCCGCCCTCCTGCGGCGGAGGCTGCAACCTGCCCATTCGGGGACTGGATGGCGGAGCCACCGTTCTCAACCCGCTTTACTGGTAAGAAAGGAGACATTGTCATGACCTCTGTCTGAAACCTGTTTCCATACCTCAGTTGGTCCCAAACTTGGGTCTACAATAGAGAGAGGAGAGCTGCTTCTAACCCGCCTAGGTTTCCACAGGGGCCCCATTTGCTCTACTTTCTTTCCCCCACCCTCCAACCCCTGGGACAGTCCGCGTAGCTAAGAAGAGAAGCGGTCAGTCAGTCAGAAGGTTAATCAGTTCTGGAGCTGGATTCTAATCCTGGCTCTGCTGCTCACTAGCTTACATGTGTGACATGCGGTGTGTTACTTAATCGCTCTGTGCCTCAGTTTCCTCATCTGTAAAACGAGGTGATAATAATAGTATTTACCTCACAGGAATGTGGTGAAGGTTGTGTGTTAATATAAATAGGAGGCCCTTTGAGTGGTGCCTGGCACAGTAAGAGCTGTGAGTGTGAGCTGGTGAGCTGGTGAGCTGGGGCCATGAGCTGAGCTGCCCTCTGACCTCAGATACCAAAGGCCGCGGTGGAAACAAATTAAACCTCATTGAAGATGGGCAGGATCACAGGTTTCTGAGAGAGCTCACTTGGATGGAGTTAATTATGATGTATAGGACCCTTTCCTCTCCTGGGGGCTTCGAAAAATTCATAGGCTTTGAACAGGACCATAGGGGTGAGCGTCTTGAGTTGAAGCTAAGAGTAGCTTTCATTTATTGAGCTGACGACAGGCCACTCCAAGCCCAGCCATTTGGAACAGCTAGACATGGTGGGTGACTCTGGAACCGGGACTCAAATTAAGGCAGCCCCTTCGCTACCGAACATAGGGCTCCAGACCTCCTCCTCAGTGGTTGCAGAATTCGGAACAGAAACTAAAGCCAGATCGGCAGTGGAGGGGCCATCAGTGAGGATCAGGAATGAGAGAACTTGGGGAGAAGAGGTGGGGGCGGGGAGCCCAGGGCTTACAGAGCTGGCAGCCTGTTGGGGATGCCACCCTTCCCTCCGCCTCGGCCGGGGAAGGATGACCAGGGCGCTCATTCACCAGGGCCTGCCTGCGCGCCCAGAGCTCTTCCACGTGCACCCCGCTCCTCCCCAGGAACCATGGCCGTCTCCTCCCACTTCGGGTCTGACTCGGAGCCCACCGGTGTTTCAGGCTGTTCTCCGGCCCCTCGCTGTGTAAGGCGAGCTTCACTGTTCAGAAGCATCCGCACCACCTGCCAGGTTGTTAGAAAGCAGAGTCTCGGGCCCCATTGACAAGACCACCAGGTGGTCCATTATACGTGAAAGTGTGAGGGACACTGCCCCAGTTTTCTCCCGTGTGCCCCCAAAGTGCCTGGGGCAGGGTCTGGGGACATAGAGGGGAAGCCCCCGGTGCTGTTGATTCGATGGGTCATGGCCTCTGAGGATGTGGGAGGCTGGGGAAATGGAAGACGCCGGTGCCGTGTCCTGTGCTTTTGCAGAATAGGGAGGTCTAAAGGCCCCAGGAGGCAGGGCATTTTGTTGGGCCACGTGGACGAGTGATACAGGGTGAACCAGCTCTCCATCGCCATTTGAAGAAAAACCTGTCCCTTAAGGAAGAGAGTCTGCATTTCCCGGGTCTTACCTCATTCAGCTTTTCAGGACTGAAAGCAGAAGTTAGGACACTTCTGACCTCTTCCCATCTTTTGTCACGTAAAAACAGGATGCTGTCAGCTACCGGTTTGCATTCCAAACCCGTCGCCTGATGGAAAACAGCAAGCAGAGGGTTAGACCACAAGGGAGCCCGAGCCACCTGGGCGGCAGTACAGACCCACGATAAACATTCCAGTCAAAGGTTCACCAATGACCAACAAACGGGGAGGTTTCCTTTGCAAGGATACAGAAGAAGAATATAAAGACTTAGGGATAATGACCTAAAGATTCATGGCCGAGGGCCGGGGCAGCAGATGGATGTGCTCTGCTGGCCCAGTTCACCCTGCGACAATGAGGTCACCGCTGTGTAAGTAACACAGCGGTTCTGTATGCTCTGCAGTCTCCCTGCAGAGTGAGGGGTCCCTGACCACGCAGCAGGCTTCTTGGGGTGAGCTAGTCTCCCCTGGGATGGAGTTTCAGGCCTGAACTTGATGGCAAGAAGTTTTGTGTGGCTGGATTGGTCAGGTTGGGCCGGGAGTTGACAGACTCATGTGTCTGGGTCTTTGGTGTGTGTGTCGTGGGGGTGGGGAGGGTGCAGGGAACGGGGGAAGATAAGGTGGGGAGTGTGGAGAGAGACGGGAGGGGGAAAGGAGAGTCCTTCAGAAGCTTATCCCAACAGAGCTGCTTCCGAGAGAACCGTGTTTCTGTGTATTTCCACTCATTCACACACTCATTCATTCATTCGTTTTTCTCATTCAGCAAACATTTGTTGACTATGTAATACATGCAAGGAGATGGCTCTCCAGGGTTGAATAATGAAGGCGTAGGTTTGGCCCTCAAGGAGTTGGTAGTCCAGTGGGGAAGCCGACAGGGAGCTCATAGACTAACAAACAGATGTCATTACTGCTCATGAGAAGGTGAGAGTTATGAAGTGAGGAAGCAGGGCAAGGTGAGAAAATCATAGGGGACCAAACAGTCAGGAAGGCTTCTCGGAGGAGGAGGTAGTCAGCTGAGCCTGGAAACATGCAAAGGATGACCCTCCTCACCCCTTCTTTCCAGGCTGTTGTGTTTCTTCCTAAAACCAGCTACTCCCACCCAGTGGTCAAAGCTGGGACCCCCCCTACCCCCACAGCTGATCAGTGTGTCCCCCCTCCCCCGCCCCAAGGCCTCAGGGTGTGAGGAGGAGGGGGGATTGGAGGCCCAAGCACTCTTCAGAACCACATATGATGTACAGTTTCACTAGTTCTTTTCCCCGTTTTAATTATAGCTGAAACATGAAGCCAGCCATCATAATTCAAAAGCCTTGTAAAAACTCCTATTTAGAGGAAAATTATAATTTTCTGATAAAATATGAACACTCAGAATAAGCTATAAAACATAACTGCAAAGTATCTGGATGGGGGGAGGATTAATTATATATAAGAACCAAGTGGCTGGGCTATTTCTCTGCAGAGGAATCCTCTCCGTGTTTAGGATGAAATTCTTTAGGAGTGCCTTGGTCACCATGCAGAATGGTGGCTTTATGGAGTTATGGGAACATAACCCATTTGTTTAGGTTCCAGAGTCAAAGGAGAAAGCATGCATTAGGTGTATTTATATATTGGCAAACACCCAGTCCTGTGCAAAGCTGCAGGCGATAAAGCATTTCACTCCAAGGAAGGCTGGGTGGTGGTTTATGGGGTCCTGATGAAACCGAATAAATTAGAGATAAGAGTCAAGATTGATTGGATACTGTATCCATCCATCAGACCTAGGACTGGATCCAAGACGTTTTTTATCTGGCACCTGGAGGACGAATCTAGCCCTCCGCCCGATGTCGGCGTAGCCCGCAAACCTCCCCCTCCCCAGACGGCCGGGACGATACTCTTCCCAGCCCACAGCTTCCATTAGGATTCCCCAGTTTTAATGGAAAATTTCGGGGGCATTGGTTAGAGAAATGTTTTCATTTCTAGATGTCATACTGTAAGAGGGAGAGCGGCAAATCGGTCATTTCAGAAGAGGAGATGTGAATGGATGTCATATAAAATTGTTGTCAAGTTTTGGAATGTTCAGCAGCAAATAGAAGACTTGGGTGATCAGAGAACAGTGCTTAATGTGAGCTCAAAATATATTTACCAAAGGCATGTTGCATGGGAGAGGAAATTTAGGTTGTTTTTTGACCTGAGGGGATAGAATTGGGTTCAATAGGGGAAGCTAACTTCCCAATAATCAAAAGGCAGAATTAGCTCGGCTGGCATGGCTCAGTGGTTGAGCATCGAACTATGAACCAGGAGGTCACGGTTTGATTCCCAGTCAGGGCACATACCTGGGTTGTGGAGGAGGCAGTCGATCAATGATTCTCTGTCATTGATGTTTCTCTCTCTCTCTCCCTCTCCCTTCCTCTTTGAAATCAATAAAAAAACAACAACAAACAAACAAATAAAAGGCAGAATTGTTTAAAGAAAAAATATTCTGCCCTGAGTGATGAGCCCCCATTGCTGGAGACTTACCCCTTCCTGGAAATCCTGCACAGAAGGCTTGAGTGTCTGAGGGGCCAGGGGGTTGGTCTAAATGACTTTTAAAAACTCTTCCAAGCCTGAGACTTCCTCTCCAGAACACTCCTCCAGGTATTTTTGTATTAGTTTGCGCGCACACACACACACACACACACACACACACACACACACTGATTGTGGCCAATTACACATAATGTAAAATGTACCATCTTAGCCATTTTAAGCATGCAGTTTGGTGGTATTAAGTACATTCACATTGTTGTGTAGCCATCCCCACACACCCACCCGCAGAACTCTTTCATCTTGTGAAACTGAAACTCCGCCTATGGAACAGTAACTACCGCCCAGTCCCTCAGGCCCTCTACAAACAATTGATTAGGTTTGCTGAGGGAGGCCACACAGAGAGCTCTTCTCCAAAGAAATGGGCAACGGGGGGACTGGGAAATCTGCTGGGGGCAGGACTGTGAGCGTCAGAGCAGAAAAGGAGGCAGGACCCAGGGAAACAGGGCTTTCTAGCCTCTTGTCTGCCCGCCCAGCCCTGTGTGCAGACTCTCAGCGAAGGCATCTTCACTCACTTTCTGGCCAGGAGTTTCCAGGCAGCAAGCCGTGGCCAGTGGAATTGGTGGAATCAGTATAGTGGGTGGCAAACAGCGAGAGAGAGAGAGAGAGAGAGAGAGAGAGAGAGAGAGAGAGAGAAGCAATAAATAGAGCAGAGTAGAAAGATAGTGTTTTATAAAGTACGGCTATTTTGTTGTTGTAAAACTTTTATTCAAAAGTGTGTGTGTGTGGTATATATATATATATAGAGAGAGAGAGAGAGAGAGAGAAAGATAGTGACTATTCTGTGTCATGCTGTGAAATGTGTTTCTTATTGTAGGCCACAGTCAAAAAGAGTTTGAAAAACCTACTGTAACCAAAACACCAAATCTTGGAGTTGGCCTCTCCCTCAACTAATATCCTCTCAGCCAAAGTGTTATTAGATTGTCAACATGTATTGAGCACCTACTATGTGCCAGGTGCTATGTTAGCAAAGAATGGGACTCTTGTCCTTAAGGGGCTCATGGGGTGGTTTATAACCAACATCGGTTGATCTTACAGCTACGGAAGTCCTTTCTATGTCATTTCAATAATTTGGGGGTCATTCTCCAGCAATAGGGAGACCTGTCCTGGTAAGCAGTGATGGTCCAGCAGTGGCCCCCCTGCTATGTGTTCCTCGGACAGCTGACCGGGTCTATCTTTTCAATTAAGATCTCATAAAACAGAGCCTGACTTCTTACTAGACCAGCTAAGCATAAACCTTATGCTTTGAAGAATGCCACAATCCTGGGGAGCAAGTTATTAAAGAAAACGAACACCTTGGCATCCTGAGGTCCCATGAAGAGAGAAACCATGAATTGGGTGTTCGTCCTGGGCCAAACTGGATTCTCAGCTGACCTGGAGAGCCACGCAGAGCGCTGCGAAGGCCGTGCAGGGCCCTCTGCTGTGCCGAGTGTGCAGGTTGTTATGGAAAAGGCACAAGCGCCATAACAGAACATGAGGCCGTAGCCTACACGTTTCCTTGTGTCCTGGGACCTGCAAGAACATCGACTCTAGATCCGTGTGTTGCCTGTGAAGCCGTGGCATAGAAGCCAACGGTTCTCAGGCGGCCACGCCGAGCTGCAGGTCGCGTACACAGAGTGGGGTGCTTTTAAAGACGCCAAGAGATACTGTCAGACTTCGGGGTCCTGGTGCGAGCATTGCCAACTTGTTCAGTGGGGTGTCAAGTAGGCTGCAGCAATATTAATACCAGAAAGTGTGCCGTGACCACTGTGCCAAACCTTCTGATTTTCACACAACCGTGCACAGATGAGAGGCTCCCTGGCACCACCTGCCTCTCTCCTCACCTGGCAGGTGCAGCATGTTGCCCAGCCCCTCATTATATTATAACCAACAACTACTCTAGAATTCTGTCACTCGGAGAACCCCAAGTTCTATCCCTGAGAACATAAGCTCTTTTCAACACATGGCTGCACCTGCACAGAGATTGCCACCAGGGCTTCCATCTCGTGAAGTGTTCCATCCCCACTGGACGATCGTCACCCACTCACTCTCCGCCAGTGGAAGAAGTCTCAGAGGTCACCCTATCTTCCCGATCTTCCCGGTCTCTGCTTCCGACACTGACTAGCCGGAGAGCATGGCCTCGGAGGAAGGGGTGTGGTGTGTCCACAGCTCAGGGGGGCAACGGGGCTAGATCCAGCGTGGGCTCCATCTGCCAACTCATCATCTAATTGGACAAAGGCATGCTATGGACTCGGGTGGCCCTGCTGATAGGGTTTCCAGCATTTCCTCCAAGGAGGGGAACCACATGCTTGGATCTGTGTTTGCATTGGCCCCATGCCAGATGGCGGCGTGGGCTTTCCTGACTGGGGAAGGGGGTGAGAGGGTTTGGGAAATCATGCCTCCTGAGGAAGATCTTCACCGGCCCTCAGCAGCTTCTCGTAGGAGCGGTGTTAAGGAGGGCGGGGTGTCTCTGACATGTCCCCTCTCACACTTGGCCGGGAAGGGCAAGTCTCCCGAGAGGATGAATGTGGCCTCGGGAGAGGCTGCACCTGGGCAGCCAGGGCCCTGGGTTCCT